CACATACATATATATATATATATATATATATATATATTTATGTATGTATATATATTTATGTATGTGTAATACATTTTTGGACATATATGTCATGTACATTTATATCCATCCTAAAACCCACCAATACATGTTGATATTATATAAAGAAATATAAAATATAGACATGCATTTAAAAACAAATTACAAAAATGTTTCGTATATAAGTTGTTGCAAAGTTGCATATATAAATAAAATATATATTGCTGACATATATGTTTGCCACATACAATAACATATACAAATCATCATACAAATTGTACTATGGGGATTTTTTATTGGTTATAAAACTTAAATCTTCATCCACCCAGAGAATGTGAAAATTATATATTGCCTTATAGGTAACATGTAAGGTAGGGGTGTCCAAACTCGGTCCTGGAGGGCCATTGTCCTGCAGAGTTTAGCTCCAACTTGCCTCAACACACCTGCCTGGAAGTTTTTAGTATGCCTAGTAAGACCTTGATTAGTTGGTTCAGGTGTGTTTAATTGGGGTTGGAGCTAAAGTCTCCAGGACACCCCTGATATAAGGCAATATTACACTTGATATAGGGCAATATCTGTTGTATATAAAATTACCATATGGGCATTTTGACATAATTACAAAACACATTGTAAATATATGTGTAAATATTGTTTTGTACGTAAACGGCTTACATGATTTGCGTCTTAACCGACATCTAAACAACTCTATTACTTCTTAGGTAAATCTCACCTGGCAATAGTCCAGCGGGTTAACAACGAAGGAGAAGGCGACCCATTCTATGAAGTGCTTGGCATTGTCACCCTGGAGGACGTCATTGAAGAAATCATCAAGTCTGAAATCCTGGATGAGACAGACTTATATAGTATGTGCCATGAAAGTCCTGTGTTTTCTTTATAAAGCAGTTTAAATCGTTCGTTGTAAAATTAAGTACAACAGCAGCATGGATTTTGTCCTGTATCTAATGAAATATGAATGAGTTATACAATACTAGCTTGTTAAAATACCTCGCAATGTCTCTTGTTATGGCATAATTTTATGTAGTGAAATTTCAACAGATACTTTCAGCTTCCACTTTTAACTAGCTTAACATTACAAAATCTTTTTTAGGTGTCATTGTAAATATACATGTGCAGATATACGAGACAAGACATTTTACACAGCATTGAACTTTCTTCCCATCATCCCACTTTTCCGACAGCCGATAACAAAACAAAAAAGAAAATCACCCATCGAGAGAGGAAGCAGGATTTTTCGGCTTTCAAGCACATGGACAATGAAATGAAGGTTAAAATATCACCTCAGCTTCTACTGGCTACTCTGCGTTTCCTAGCAACAGGCAAGTGTACTGCATTGCTGCTTGATTTACCCCAGTGTGTCCTGTGACTGTAGTATGGATAGGCTGCTCACAGCAGAGGAGGAGCTTGGCCACTGGTTTTTGGTGAAAGTCGTGCCATGATGTTGATGTTTTTTTTTGTTTTTTTTGCATTCTAAGGTTTTGCATTTAGAGAGGGGCAGCTTGTTTGGGTTAGAGCAGCGGTTCCCAAACTGGGGTGCGCGCACCCCTAGGGGTGCACAGACCGACCAGCAGGGGTGCGCGAGAGAATGCTTTTGATGATCTGTGTGCATTTTTTGAAGGGGCAAGTGAAAGAGAATTTTACTTGCCCGACCGAACAACTAATCTAATCTAATTAAAACATCGAATTAGGGAAGCACCAAAATTTCGGCGAGAATGATTCTGATTTTATTACATTTGGTGTAAACGGCAATTCATAATGGATAATCAATAGTAACAAGGTCGCGGCAGTTGAGACTATCTCATGGAGAAACCGAAACAAATGAATACAACTGCACACAGAAGAAACATACTGCGGTAAAAAAATTTTTAGTTTTTATATTTATTACATAGGTATAGCCTAGCCTAATTAATTAAGATGACACGACTAAGAGAGATTGCAGTTTTCCCCGAAAATCAGTACGATTGTAAATTCGACATTGATTTTAAACAAGACTTCAAACGAGTAGTTAATATTAAGTGACTTAGGGCATACATTTTAGTACAATAATGTCAATGTGACTGTTTTTGCTCGATTTGTTTAACGAAAATGGTTCCAAACAAACTTAGCAGCAGAACTGTAGCGCATCTCTGAGCGATTTTATTACACTTGGTGTAAACGGCAATTCATAATGGATAATCAATAGTAACAAGGTCGTGGCAGTTGAGACTCACGTGAGACAATCTCATGGAGAAATCGAAACAAATGAACACAACTGCACACAGAAGAAACATACTGCGGTAAAAAAATTTTTAGTTTTTATATTTATTACATAGGTATAGCCTAGCCTAATTAATTAAGATGACACGACTAAGAGAGATTGCAGTTTTCCCCGAAAATCAGTACGATTGTAAATTCAACATTGATTTTAAACAAGACTTCAAACGAGTAGTTAATATTAAGTGACTTAGGGCATACATTTGAGTACAATAATGTCAGTGTGACTGTTTTTGCTCGATTTGTTTAACGAAAATAGTTCCAAACAAACTTAGCAGCAGAACTGTCGTGCATCTCTGAGCAACACACAGCGGTGTTTCGTAACTGAATGATTTGCGTTTTTGAATTCATAATTTGAGTCAATGATTCAGTGGTCCATTCATAAAGACAGGCGCTTGCTGCCACCTGCTGGCGGGTTACTTTCAAATTGAAAAGTAACTCTTTTTTTTTTTTTTTTTTTTCCCCAAACTTTTCATATTTGTAAATAAAAAAACCTGATGTAAAACACCAAGCTCACAGCATTATTTATGCTGTTGTAATTTTGCAGTGTAAATGCATTCATGCTACATTTCAGCTTCATTAAATTGTCTGTGTAAATGCATCTAAATGCCACTTCAGCTGCTTTTGTTTCTCCAGCAGTGTAAAAATTGGTTTTGTTAATACTGATTTCAATTGATTGGTCACAGCCCTATAGAGTCTTATTATATTAAGTGAAATTATTAATAAAATGTAAGAATTTGATATGAAAGATGACATGCATTTAATAAGGTTAGGGGGGAATGCCCTTTTTATAGGCAAAAAAACAAAAAAACACCTGGAAATCAATGAAAATAAATTGTAATATGCAGTAACTTTAGTCATATAAAATGTAATTTTCCAGCAACAAAATTGTGGCCAGTGAAAATGCTGAGTGGCTAGTAATTTTGGAAAACCACTAGCCACAGTGGCTGGTGAGCAAAAGAGTTAATGTCAAGCCCTGTATACAGTGAATACTTGTATTGCAGTTAAAAATGTGGTGTTTAACCGGAGTACGGTGGTGGGGGTGCTTGACATGTGTCAAACACTAGAAAGGGGTGCACGCTGCAAAAAGTTTGGGAACCACTGGGTTAGAGTATAAAAGAATGCCTTTCAGCAAAGGGCTAAGAGAAAGAATTAAATACATCTTTGACACTGGCAAAAGAGCTTTCTCTATCACTTTTTTGTTTCATAATGTGTGTTTCTCTAAGAAAGGAAAAATATGTGGTGTAGAAGCCACAGTAAGATTGTTGTTAAGGTTTTCTGTTGTCAAAGGTTACGTTGCTGTACTGCTTTTTGACGGATATTTGTTAAAGCCAGGCTGTCAATCATATTAGATAAATAACATACACTACAGTTCAAAAGTTTGGGGTTGGTAAGATTTTTTAATATTTTACGAAATTTTAATGTTTTAAGAAGTCTCTTCTGCTCGCCAAGGCTGCATCAGACTTAACAAGCGGGTTATCAATGTTGAAAACAGTTTTGCTGCTTAATATTTTTGTGGAACTTTTTTTTAATGCATCTTTACTGAATAAAAGTATTACTTTTTAAAATATATCTTACTGACCTCAAACTTTTGAATGCTAGTGTAAATGAAATAAACAAATATCATTTTACATACAAACAGTAAAAATATATAAATATATAAACCAATACCTAAGCAACATTCTTTGTAAATCTTAGCAGTTCTTCAACGTGTTCAATGTTTTTTTTTATTTTTTATTCTCTGATTCTCTCTAACATTATATTTCATAGTGTCATTTTTATTTTTCAAATCAAATTCTCAGTTTTTATTAAAAGTAAATAAAATTATTCACCTGCAGCAGACCAGTTTTGGATTTTCTGTAAGCCAGTATACACATCAGCCATTTACAATACATTTCAACGTAATTTTTTCAGTATTTTTTTTTTCCACGGAATTATTACTTTTATTCAGCAAGGATGCATTAAATTGATCAAAAGTGACAGTAAAGCCATTTATAATGTGACAGCAGATTTCTATTTCAAATAAATGCTGTCTTTACAAATTTTGTCGTCAAAGAATCCTAAAAAATTATTTCCACAAAAATATGAAGCAGCACAACTGTTTTCAACATTGATAATAATGTTTTATTGTATTTTTTATCGAATAAATGCAACCTTGTAGAGCATAATGAAAACCTATGAATGGTAATGCACGTTGTTATTTTTTTGTATAATTGCTGATTCTTGCAGAACTGTTCAAGCAGTCGGCACAACCTCCTACAAGTCATTTCCCTTTGCTTTATTGTTGCTCAAGCTGTTGTTAAAAGGTCCCAAGGGTGGCTGTGTATAATATATATAAAAAGTGCATGCCAAACATATTCTGACTGGTGTTCACCTTTAAACCTAATGCCAGGATTTGGAGAGAAATTTCCCGTTGTGGCTTAAGCTAATCATTGATTAACAAATACAATACTATTAGCATTCCCTGGTCAAGGAAGGATCAGCTGCCAGTTTACACAGATACTGTAAACAGAACAATGTTACAATGAGTTATTTAGCAACATATAACCATCATAATAGACAAATATTAAATATTTGAAAATTAAATATTCAGGGAAACTTTCATGCACACAATTGAAACCGTTGACTAGAATAATGATTAAAAAAAAGTATTTGCTTTTGTATGTTTTAGAAGACGGTCAAAGAAGATTCACAAGGCAATATTTTTACAGATGGATAAGCAGTCATCGCAGTTATTGTAAACAAACTGTATTTGTCCCAAAAATGTTAGAACGTCATTAACACAAGGTTTGCTAATATACCGTGTGATATTTTGAAACCTGAAAATGCGATATTACCTTTACCCATGGTTTAGAATGGCCCTGAGTTAACAATTTCAAGTGCAAAAAAACCCCCTCAGGAACAGGAAGATGATTATCATGCCGTGTCTTCTTTTGCTTTACAGAAGTAGAAGCATTTAGTCCAAGCCAGATGTCTGAAAAAATCCTTCTCCGTCTCCTCAAGCACCCCAACGTCATCCAGGAGCTCAAATATAATGAGAAGAATAAGAAGGCCATCGAACATTACCTCTTTCACCGCAACAAGCCCGTGGACTATTTCATCCTCATTCTGCAGGTCAGCTTGGCTGTTTGGTCCAGGGTCGCAGAAGCCATAGAGAGAAGGGATTGAGCTTATTAGCCTAGAACAAGCTGGGATTTTCGCAAGTATTTAACACGCCCAGTATGAAAAGTTTCAACTAATGTACCTATGTAAAAGAAGAATATTGTAGTGAGTATTGTGAAAGACAGCCTTGCTTCTAAAGGAAAAACTGAAACTAAAAATCTCCATCAGTATTAACATTATATACTTGAAGTGGCTTAAAAAACAGTTCCTAGCTATGTTGAACACCTGGTTTTCAATGTGATCTGTTCTCTAAGGGGAAGGTGGAGGTGGAGGCAGGGAAGGAGGGAATGAAGTTTGAAGCTGGGGCTTTCTCCTCGTATGGGATGATGGCTCTCACCGCTACTCCAGGTAAGCACAACTAAATCCAAATGTCTTCCATTTTATCGACTGAATCCCAATTTGAATACTTATACTAAGAACGAAAAGTATATGCTCAGTGCGTTGGTAATAAAAAATGTCATACTTTATATAACCCAAAGGTTCAAGTGGTTTTATGGTGGTTTTAAAGGAATAGTTCATCCAAAAATACAAATGTAATCATCCTCAGGCCATCCAAGATGTAGATGAGTTTGTTTCTTCATGGGACCAAATTTGGAGAAATTGAGCATTACATCACTTGCTCACCAATGGATCCTCTGCAGTGAATGGGTGCCGTCAGAATGAGAGTCCAAAAAGCTGATAAAAAACATCACAATAATCCTCAAGTAATCCACATGACTCCAGTCCATCAATTGTGCCAGTCCAACATGTCTTGTAAAGTGAAAAGCTGCAAGTTTGAAACAAATCCATCAAGACATTTTTAACTTCAAATCCTTGCTTCCGGTTAAAGTCCTATATCCATAATATTGCTTTCTCCAGTGAAAAAGTCTTGTTTGAATCGGGAGAGAAATATGCACAGATCAAGCACTGTTTGCAAGCCGAAAATCCAAAACAGTTCTAAACAAATATGTTGGTGGATTTTTGATGTGAGAGGACAACAGAGGTTGGACTTTTTCACTGGAGGAAGCAATATTATGGATTATGGACTCGCATTTTGGTCAGAAGTAATGGTTTTGAAGTTAAAACCCCTTTGATTAAGGCACAGCTTTTAGCATCACACGACATTAATTGATGGACTGGAGTCATGTGGATTACTGTGATACTGATGATTACTCATTCTGACGGCACCCATTCACCACAGAGGATCCACTGGTAAGCAACAAACTTATCTACATCTTGGATGGGTGAGTACATTTTCAGCAAATTTTAATTTTAATTTTTGGGTGAACTGTTCCTTTAAGAAATAATACTGCAATACAAAATTGTCTTGATACCACATCATACACCCACATACCCTGCGATAGTGCAGAAGGTTGTGGGCTGTATTAGTCCAAAAAGTATGCGGGGATACATACTTTGTAGATCCACAGGAAGCGGAGCCTCATTCTGGCACCTTTGACATACTATTTTCAATCTACTATGATTTGAAATGCACTAATCCCAGCCAGGCATTATTGTATGAAGTTTGTGGTTCAGACACTATATCAGAAATTCAGAAAAATAACAGTTTATCTCAGAGGGTCTCTTTCCAGGGGTCAAATGGCAAGATAATTTGTGTATGTCATTGGTCTTGTATTGTTTTTAAAAGTACTGATACTGTAATCTTTAAGAGCAGGCAAAATTATGTTAAATAGTACATTGGTGGCAGAAGAAATCTGTCAAATAATCAAGATTCTGCTATAATCTTATTTCATAGTACACATATTTGTGCAGTTATCAGTTTGCAGGATTGCTTTATGTTTTTACATATGAGAGCAATGCAGCAATACAGAGTGGGATATGTCTTATTTTAAAATACTTTTTAAAAAATGTGACATGACGAGATGGATGGATGGAATTGTTATTGCTAGAAGTCATAATAAACAATTATTTGCCAACTATTATAGTTTAGTAGACATACTCCATATAGTCAAGCAACTTAGCAACCGCAACATACTTCCACTGATATGCAGCATTTGTACCGGTATATCAAATGTGACCCATCTTGTGCATTTTATAATGTTAGCTTTACTGTTTTGAGTCATTTTGTAAGCAGATGCTTATGGACTGATGCCAGCCTTATAATTCATTTGATATGAATAATAACATAACAAATGAAATGGAGCAACTTTCATTTTTGAAGTATTTAAAAACACTTCATTATATCCAGATTAAATAATTTAATTATTGTCAAAAAAAAAAAAAAACTATACTTATATATTGCCAACATATGTTGTCATGATATAAAATTATTCCAGTGGTCCTGTGTCTTGTGAATTATTGCTAATATAAATCATAGTTATTTCACTATTATATTCTTCTACTTCATATTTTATTGATCCAACTGAACATAAAAGTACATAAAAGTCTTTGGGGGAAGCATCCACCAGCTCAACAAATTATGTTGAACAGTTTTAGATCAATCAGAAATTTGTAGGAGTTGAATATTCTGCCAAATGTTAAAAGCATGTGCTACTAGTTTAGGGGAATATCACAGAACATAGGTGACCTCTGGTGGTGACAACATGGGCCTACAGTAATACTAAACGTGCTTTGTTATGGGGAAAACAGCAACAGCATTTTTTTTTCAGATTAAAATAAGTGATATTTAGTGATTTTTCTCCTCTCCTTGATCTTTCAGTTCTGTTCCTTTCAGTTCCACCTTTCAGTCTCCTTGTAGTTTTGTTTCCAACTTTCTTGTGATGCTTTTTTCTTCCTCCTACTCTTTATTCTTCTCTGCAGTTCCTCTCTCCCTGTCTCGTACCTTTGTGGTCTGTAGAGTTGAGTCTGTTGCTGGATCTCCAGGTATAGTTAAACCAACATGCTTGTCAAGTCATATTATCCTTGTACGGCTCAACATGCATGTCCCAAATTCAGTTTTGATGCTTTTTGCCCAGTTAAAGCAATGTCAGAATCATTTTTGACTAATCAAACAATGGAAAAGTCAGACATCTGTCTGTGACTCATTGTAAATCATGCCGTTTGTTACAGTAAAGCCACAGAATCCCTCCCACACATTTCAACTTCACAGGCCTCCTAGAGTAAAGGGCGACAGCGGGGCCATACGCACACACACAGACACACACACCTCTGCATAGTCACCCACACACACATGCACACACATACTGTTCCCTGTTCTCACATACCTCATGCTGACTGCCAGCATGTAGGGTTCAGAGTTGGGCCCCTTCAGGCCAGCATTGGAGCCTTGAACTAAAGACGCGGTGGCTCCCTCACTCCACTCACACATCCAAACACGGATTACATACATTCCAACCAAATTGTGGAATTAACACACCCCTGCTGTTGAAACCTTTGTGTGTATACATGTGTATGTGTGTTTATGTGTTAGAGCAAGAAAGAAAGAGTAAATGTATGTGCTGGAGTGCGAAAGTGTGCATATTTCAGTGTCTGTTAGCTGGTGTTAGTGTTGGTGTGGGCGAGGAAGGATAATGTTTGTGTGTGTGCACTTTCCCCGCTCTTTATGAAGTGGAAAACATAAGCTGTGTTTAATTAAAAACAAGCCAGTCTTCGCTTTGAAAGCTCTTAGGCTTTTTATCATACTCTTGCCAGCGGCAACACTTTACATACATGAAACACCCCTTCATAACTAGCGAAGCTATTATTGAGTTCTAAAAGGCTGTTACAAGCTATTATAAAATAATAATATACCATGTGTCTCTATACAGTTGGATTTGAGTGTTTAGTCACTAAATGATTTAGAGTACTAAAAAAGCCATAAACATCTACAAATATGCACTACTGTTCAAATATTTTGGGTCAGTAAGATTTTTTAAAGGGGTTATATGACGTTGCTAAAAAAGAACATTATTTTGTGTATTTGGTGTAATGAAATGTGTTTATGCGGTTTAAGGTTCAAAAAACACATTATTTTTCACATACTGTACATTATTGTTTCACTGCTCAAAACTCGCGTTTGAATCATCAGTGGCAAATCCTTTAAATATGAAAACGTACTTACAGGCTGTGAGTCCGCATTATTCATCAGAACACTGGCATTGTAAGCTACTCTCTAGTGTGTGTGTGTACTGTCGCTTTTGATCAATTAAGTGCATACTTGCTGAAGAAAAGTATTAATTTCTTTTGAAAAAAAAAGACCCCAAACTTTTGAACGAAATATTGTACTTTTAAACTGGTTTGAAACACACCCCTATTGTATTATAGGTCAGACAAACAGATAGTCCCGCCCCTAACTCACACCATTGTTGCTACATCAGGCTGGTCAAACAATTATAGATAATTAATATCCATGAGCAAGGCTGATAAGTTTTACAGTGTGCCCCCTCCCTTTTGAGATAATTTCTGCATCCCTGATTGTCAGTGTGTGTGTGTACTGTCGCTTTTGATCAATTAAGTGCATACTTGCTGAAGAAAAGTATTAATTTCTTTAGAAAAAAAAAAAGACCCCCAACTTTTAAACAAAATAGTGTACTTTTAAACTGGTTTGAAACACACCCCTATTGTATTATAGGTCAGACAAACAGATAGTCCTGCCCCTAACTCACGCCATTGTTGCTACATCAGACTGGTCAAACAATTATAGATAATTAATATCCATGAGCAAGGCTGATAAGTTTTACAGTGTGCCCCCTCCCTTTTTTGAGATAATTTCTGCATCCCTGATTGTATCTGTTTGTTTTTTCATGATTAATACAATAATGATGCTTTCCTTTTTCCTGTGCAGAAAAACACAAAAGAAACACTCCAGGCAGATGCTGTAATAGGGTAAATCAAAGACTGTTCCAAATACTGCTTTGAAGGAAACTGTGAACCGAGAGCATTCTACTCACATATTTATTTATTTTGTATGCGTTTGTACATACGTGCATGTCTGAGGATATAATTGTCGGCACATTGCAAACACCTGTCTGTAAATTGTGCATGTGTATGTGTGTGCCTCTATGAGTGTCACTGATATCATGCACATGCTATATATAAATAGTTACAAATACATCATTGTATATGTACCGGTGAGGGTCTTTTACATGTATATTTCAGAAATGATTATTTTTATTGTTCTAAATCTGGTATATCCCACAGTACCTTTTACACCTTTTTAAAAAATGAATCATTATATTGCCTTTAAAACAAATCATATTAATTTTTAACAAGTGCAATGAAACGCATTTTATTTAAAAGATGATTTATCATGATTACTGTGTTGTAAATTATAGTTCTATTTGTATGCATTTATTGTATCGTATTTGTATATTTGTTCTTAGACATTTTGGATTCAATTCAAAGGATGAACAGGTCCTGTTTGTCTGCTTTAAAATGTTCATTCTTTCAAAGGCACATTAACTTTACATTTAAAGCTGAAGGCGGTCTTATTTAAATTAAACCATAGACCTGTCAGGACTTTATGCAAGGGAGAATCGATATGCATTTGTGCGATTCCTAACTGAATCCAGGCAGTAACAAAATGAGTCTTCACCACATCATTAAAGCAACTACTACATTAAATTGTTCTACCCATCATACATCTGTAAGAAAGGTGCCATAGTGTTTAAATGGCTGTACTTGTGTGTATTACCTTTATGTATATAATGTTGACTTTATTTATATGAACGCTGGAAACTCCTGCTATGCATACACTTTTTTATTTATTTATTTTTTTTTTATAAATAGTTCACTCAAAATGAAAATTTGCTGAAAATGTACTCACCCTCAGGCTATCCAAGATGTAGATTAGTTTGTTTCTTCATGGAAACAGATTTGAAGAAATTTACCAGTGGATCCTCTGCAGTGAATGGGTGCCGTCAGAATGAGGGTCCAAACAGCTGATAAAAACATCACAATAATCCACAAGTAATACACATGACTCCAGTCCATCAATTAATGTCTTGTGAAGTGAAAAGCTGCGTGTTTGTAAAAAAACGAACCATTGCTTCTGGCCAAAATACAAGTCCTCTATCCATATACTGCTTTCTCCAGTAAAAAAGTTGTCTTGTCTGAATCAAGACAATCAAGGGTGAATTTTACTGGAGACAGCAATATTATGGATTATGCACTATTATTTTGGCCAGAAAAAAAAAAAAACTTGATTGATTTGTTTTTTACAAACACATAGCTTTTCTCTTCACAATATGTTAATTGATGGACTGGAGTCATGTGGATTACTTGTAGATTATTGTGATGTTTTTATCAGCTGTTTGGACTCTCATTCTGACGGCACCCATTCACTGCAGAGGATCCATTGGTGAGCAAGTGACATAATGCTAAATTCCTCCAAATCTGTTCAGATGAAGAAATTAACTCATGTACATCTTGGATGGCCTGAGGGTGAGAACATTTTCAGCAAATTTTCTTTTTTTTGGTGAACTATTCATTTAATGATGAACCACTTATATTTTCTCCCTTGCCATACTTTTTTTTTTTTTGGTTTGTTTTTGTTTTGAAAAAAAATCCCTTTTTCTCAAAGACCCAAACCTCCTATCATCAAACATCATACAACTTATTCCTATAACCATTCCTATATGTTGTTATAGGTGGCAGCTGCATGACCCTCTTTCTACAATGTTAAGACTTTGTGGCAAATCTGATTCAGGCAGCTTTTAAGACTTTGCCCTAGATGTTTTCATTATTTGAACCACAATGGATAAACAACAGTAAAGCGTTACTTGCATTGTTTATACATGGGTCACTACCACAGACAGCCACTGCTTGGCACTATGGTCTAACAATTTAGCCAAACTAAACCTTGACAAGGTTGTAATCTTCAAACTGATGCGCTTTTTATACCAAAGATTTAACTTAAGAAGTGAGATCAGAGATTGTTGGGCTTTATTTAGTAAATTAAAGCCAACATTGATTATTTTTTCCTAGACAGACGATCTTGTGGGGTTAAATACAGGTTCTGGCTTTTTTTTTTCTTCTAATTTTCTTTGTTAATGAATTGTAGCTACTTTGTAACTAAAATGTAAACCCTAGGGAGGAAAACGGTTCTAGAAAGTGCTATTAAACATTCATCAGTTTCACTGTGGCACTGTGTTCTTTATGCTGTTCTTTCATAAAAATCTAAATTTTTTTGTAAAGAAATCCTAGCTGCAAACAGTGTGTTCTAACAACAGATGGACAACAGGATATTTTGGGCGTCATCTCACACTGGTAATTCTGTCCATTATTTGATCTGCATATTAAACATCAATTATATTCTGACTGACTGTACATCACAGCATTTTTGCTTTGTAAAGACAGATGATCTGTCAGGACTGGTTAAGATTGGGTAAGGCTCATGTTGCTCAAGAAACTGGGGATCGCTTTTGTTTGAATGGTTACACCATGCATGTTCCAACATATTTAATGTGTAATATGCGGTATACATATGTGGAGTGGTATTTTAGACACATGACATTGTCACTGTGGAAATCAGAAATAGAATCTAAATGGCCAGCGAATTGTCCTTTTGCTCATTGTGGTATAGGTTAGGGTGCCATGTTCCAAGGTGTTCTTCATTATTCTAAACAGAAAACTTGCTATGGCATATAAATGTAGTTGCATGCTAATGTAGTTAGAAGTAAACAAGACAGGAGACCAATAGTGAATTTATTATGGAAAATTATTTTTATTTTTACATTGCAATGCAATTTCCTATATGTATACGTTTAGAACTCTAGAAATCGAAAGCTATCATAATTCAGGGAACAAAACTGAATTTTGGGGACATGAAATCACTTGCCCTAAACAAACAAACAAAACGAAACAAAAAAACTGGATTAATAAATGCCATGTCTGTTTTGCTCGATCTCCTCTACAGATCCTTTTGCTAAACTGAAAGCTAGTAGTCACAAAAAACTAGTCCGTATGAAACATGAAAAAAAAAAAAAAGAATTCAGAAATTAAAAAGGTAAGAAATAGAAAGGAACAAATACTCAGTACATTAGTAAGTTATTGGCACGTTTAACACGCCAACTACACTATAAACTATGCCAAAATGTAATATGAAAACATTGGTTCAAACAGAGATGTATGCAATGCTACCTATGACTATATGGATGAGCCCTTCACCCATTAAAGAGGTATCTAGAATATACTATTGGGAAAATTGGACGAATACTGTTTAAACTCAATGCATTTTCTATTATATTATTTTTTAAATATAAATCTAAGTCAGTGTCCCTTGCATAGACATCTAAAAAGGACAACTGCCAACACCAGTGCAAATTAGCCTAGGACTAGTTTTCATCAATGTCCAGGGAACCGGCTGGATTATGTATATACACACCCCCACAATACTGAGTTTGTATAAAAAGCTAATGAAAACAGAGGAAAGAGGGATGCTGGATCTTTTTTTTTCTTTGTCTTTTTTTTTTTATCAGGACCTAAAAAACGCTTTCTCTATACTGTGTACAAGGACAAGTATATTTTGAAAGAGCTGCCCCGTTTTAGGATGTCCTGTCGTTTTTAAACTATAAACCAAAACTGACACATAAAATATGCATTGTACATTTAAAAATATCTCTTTAACTGCTTCCTTGGAAACAGACTTTGAGCCATGGGGCGTTTCAACAGTAACCTTAGCCCTGCTCACCTCTGAGCTGTCTGTAACACATCAGATCAGCAAAGGACTCATTAGTACAGAAATTTAATCACTCTGTGCAACTCAAACTGAGTAAAACAGCACTATTAATCAGTGCTGACAGAACCCCCAGTGTAAGGCATTAGATCCTAACCTCTGTGCGGAGGAAGTGAAGTACTGAGTAAACTGTGAAATGTGTGTCCACCCGTGGCTCCTCTCTCATGCTGTACCTCCACTAGATGAGCCATGTAGTCTAACAGGTAGAAACATCCATGATATTAGCATCATTTTACACACACCAAATCATGGGAGAACAGAGTATTTCAAATGAAAGACCCTCACTTTTGTCCATGATATTCTGTTCCAGTGTTTGAGGATCGTGAGACACGGCCTGGTCCAGATACTGTAGCAGTTTGCTCATGCTGGAGACGGGGATCCCAAAGGACTGGACGAACAACAGCAGCTGCTGGGGCTCCAGATCCTGTAGGGCTGTGAATGAAAAAAAACAAAACAAAAAAACACATTAGCTCACCTACACTACAGTTACAAGTTTGAAGTCACTAAGATTTTTTTAATGAAAGTAATACTTGTATTCAGCAAGGACGTATTAAAACAATCAAAAAATGACAGTAAAGACATTTATAATGTTACAAAAGATTTATATTTTTCAATACAAAAATATTAAGCTGCACAACTGCTTTCAGCATCGTTAATAATAAGAAATGTTTTTTTTTTAACAGCAAATCAGCATATTAGAATGATTTCTGAAGGATCATGTGACACTGAAAACTGTGCTGAAAAATTAAAAATGAGCTTTAACCGTATTTTTAAGTAAATAAATGCAGGCTTGGTGAGCATAAGACACTTCTTACAGACACTAAACTTTTAAATGGTAGTGTATATTGCCCCTTATTTGTAAATACAAGTTATTAATACCTGCATCAACCAATCGGGCGACTTCAGATCGGATCATTCTTAATTTCAGCCAATCAGGCAACAGAAGGGCTTCCTCTGATGTGTCAACCAGGAATGCAGTGGGAAGGGGCTTTTTATCAGGAAACCAGATATCCAGCAGTTTGTAGAACCTGTTTTCCCCTAAAAAAAAAAAAAAAAAAAGACAGTCAGACTCATGAAGAGAAACAAAATAAAAATAATACAGTTCTATGCATACGAGTAATACATGTTACACTATGGATTGGGTAGCTTCATTCAATCAGATCCTACATACTATCTCTGAGTAATGCATATAAAAGTCACACTAACCATCCTAATCTACCCGTTTCATGCATTTGGAACTCTTCCCACAGCTAAAACCGCTTCCTCTCTAAACCGTGAACCACCATTATACTCAAGAACAACGTTTATTTCTTTAAAAACTCCACATACTTGCTGTGGGGACACCTAAAAGTGTCTAATGGGACCCTTGAAGCTAAATCAAACACAATTTCTCTACACCGTTTTGGTCCACATGACAGTAAACCATCAACAGAGTTCAAACATTATCCAGGACTACATTCATTTCCATAGAAACAGTCACCAAAGCAACAGCACTTTCTCAACCTATCAGCTTCACAATGTCCAGCTGTTTACTTTTTTGTACTTTTTCTCTCAATGACTTTACTTTTACCGATGTGTAATAACAAGTTGCTCAGGCCATAAAACACAGTTTTATAAATATTTTTTTGCATAACAAGTTCACTTACTGTACGTATGATATTTGAATAGTTTGCATCTGTCTTATGTGAGGCAGATATTAATGGCACGTAATGTTTGACACAAAACTAGACCGTTCTGTTTAGCTTATATAAGAGTATAAAAATACAGTATGTCATTGTTCAATGTGACGTCGTTTCCAAAATTAGAGCAGTGTGTCTGTGTGTGTTCGGACTCATTTTGCGCCCTAATATATGAGGCATCTGTTTGCTACTCTGTAGCATTAGTGCTAGCCAAAATCTCTGCATTAAAAAAAGATGAAAACCAAGAGGTTAACAACAAACCTCTAAAAAAAAAGCAGCTGCATGCTGTTGCCAAGTAACTGGATTCTTGTGTTGGCTGCACTTCCTTATTCACGTCACAATGAACCGTGCTTTGGTTTTCTGTGCTTCATTCAGATTCTCAACACACGCAGGACTTCAACACAAACACCCTGCCAACACACACAGCTTTAACACACACAGAGAGAGGTTTTTTTTTTTTTTTAAAGGAACAGTTATTGGATACAGTTTTTGCAGGAGGTAGTAACCAAGCTGGATGGACTGGCTACTCGAAAGTTATGTCTAAACTGTTAAAAACAATAGTAAAAAATTACTATAACATACCTAAAAATAAGATGTGTATCTGTAAGGATCCAATCACAGACTTTAACACTCGTCCTAACAGGCTTTGATTTTTCTGAGTCTTTCCCAGCATGCTGGCTGTATGATGCATGTAAACTCATAAGTTTTACCATCAGTTCACAGTAGAGTGCGTATCCCTTCCACTGTGTTTCCACTGGATGTTTATCACATGACATTATGTGCTTTTATAGTGACTGATAAACAATTCCAGATCGCAAAGTTTTTTTAAACAAACTTATGTATTAGTTATCTTTAATGGAGCAAACTGTCAGTTAGGGTGAACTGAAGTCTGGTACTGTGAACATCAGCTTTTTGAGCTTGGTTTGGCAATTATAGTCTACTTCATACAATCACTCTTCCTTTTCTACCTCACACGATATCCTCATCACTCTTATCATCATCATCCTACAGATCTTTACCCTAGAATAGGTCAAAAACAACTATTCTTCCTCCTCCTCTTCGTCATCATCTTCGTCGTGGCAGTGTGTGATTTCTTGCGGCGGCTGAGCGAACAGGTGGGGCGGTTTGATTTCGCTGATGGAGCGTGTGAGCTGGTTTCTTTTGCAGTCGATGTCCTTGCAGTCCACACAGTGGCGGTTGCGTGTGGCCAGAGGAGACTCAGTCTCTATGTCTACATGAGTGTGCTCCACTGTGGACTCGTGAGGCATCTGGGAAAGAGAGAAGAGGAGACACAAACAGTTAAAAATGTGTATAACAGGTACGTTAAAGGGGTCATATGATGTTGCTAAAAAGAACATTATTTTGTGTATTTGGTGTAATTAAATGTGTTTATGCGGTTTAAGGTTCAAAAACACATTATTTTCCACATACTGTACATTATTGTTTCTCCTCTATGCCCCGCCTTTCTGAAACGCATAGATTTTTACAAAGTTCATCGGTCTGAAAAGTGAGGTGTGCTGTGATTGGCCAGCTATCCAATGCGTTGTGATTGGCCGAATACCTCAAGCGTGTGACGGAAATGTTACACCCCTACCATACTGTGATGGCGTGTCCTGGCCGGAGCGATGAGACAAAAACATTAAAACCCATTATAAACTTTGTCGAAATCGCCACCCGCGCTGTTCTCAAGCCCACCCGCCTCTGCTCACTCTAGCCCTCCGGCCGTTCCTCACGCTAGCCCCCGGCCT